TTGGGTTCACTGATATAATAATAATAATAATAATTCATTGTGTTGAGGACACAGGCAGCCAGTATATAATACATGTTAGGCTTGTATCGAGGGCACTCGCTTCCCAGGTTGAACTACTGACCTTTCCCAGGATGCAACTGCACAAGCTGGCTAACTCCTGGGTACTAATTTACTGCTAGGTGAACAAGGTATTAGATGATAGGAAACATGCCAACCATTTCTGTCCTGCCTAGGACCCGAACCCAAACATCCTGATTGTGATTCAAGAACAAACCCTATTGTGCTGCCGTGACATGTGAACCTTGTACACAGTTTTTACCACTGTTAGGATATTCTATGTCACTATCATTGTAAAGTTACTGTAATTATTTCATCATCATTAAGTGATGCTGTGGGCAGGAGCTGCATGTGCTACAAATGGTTGCTGTCTTAGTACCGAGTCCCCTCCTACTCGGGAAGGATGCCCACAATTTTTTCCAAGATGACGTCTGTTGGAGGCCTGAGGAAGCGGATATGATCCCCATGTGCCTATGGGAGAGTTTCAAATTTAACACCACACCTAAAATTTATCCTGGTTGATGTGTGCACTATTGATGAACGACCCTGGTTGATATGTGCAACTGAAGGGTTAATCTGGGAGCCCCAGGCATGTGAGTGAGGGAGCCAGCTGGCTGGTGCCCTTGGGTGGGGAGGGCTGCTATCTGGTTGTAAGCGAGTCTTGCTAACAAGTGTGTGTGTCTTCATCTCATGGTTGCCAATGTTGTCCACACAATTGCTTATTTTTTGCATCCTACCTATCTGGTGATTTATCATTCAGAGCAGAATACTTTGGTGACCTAGTACCCCAGATTTCCCTGACCTCTATTCAGGGGTACAGGTTCTGGTACTGGCTTTCAATAGGTACTCATGAATCTTACAGCCTGGTGTGGTATTTTAAGTTTGGAACTTGCCAAACTAGGTATGGATGAGTAGCTTAGGCAAAGCACCAAAAAACTCCGGGGAAACACATCAATTGTTTCACACTTGACTCAATGAAAATCATATGGGGTCTCTATAAATGCTAATATTTATTAAAGCATTTAACTCGGGCTGTCCCCGACCCACGTGTGTCTGTCCTGTACCCTAGAACTCGCTTCTACTTTCAGTGTAGGAGAGATCTCTGAATTAGAGGGAATACAGAGAACATATACCGCATGCATAGAAACAATAAAACTTATGAATTATTGGGACCGTCTCAAAGCTCTCAAAATGTACTCTGGAAAGGTGACGAGAAAGGTATCAAATAATATGTAATTGTACATGAAAGATACTGGAAGGCCATGTCCCAAATTTGCACAGTAGAATAACAACTGGAGCGAAAGGTATGGAAGGAAGTGCAGAATGGAACCAGTGAGGAATAGAGGTGCCATAGGCACAATCAGAGAACACTGAACAACAGGTGTGTACAGCTGTTCAACACCCTCCCAGCAAGCATTAGAAATATTGCCGGAACAAAGGTGAATGTCTTCAAGAGACACTTAGACAAGTTCTTGCAAGAAGTGCCAGACCATCGAGGCTGTAGTGGATGTGTGGGCCTGTAGGCCGCTCCGAGCAACAACCTGTTGGACCAAGTTATCCCAACTCAAGCCTGGCCTCAGGCCAGGCTCGGGAAGTAGAACTCCTGAAACCTTCTCCAGGTATGCTAGACCATTTTCCCTGTAAATTAGGGTAAGGCTAGCACCAAATGTCTGGCCTTCAACCTTGAACAGAGACAGACACATTCTCTTTTATTGATATAGATTAGTCTTAGGTCTTAAGTTCATCATGACTTCTGGGAGCTAATGAAATTTTTATATAATTTGGATCTATGCAGAGGTTAAGAAATCTTTAATATCTCTGAGGAGCTTTCCTTGGATGAAGTATAAGAATTATTATTATTTAAAATAATCATTTCCTAGATGAGTAGAAAATAACTTGGCCTGAGTTCTAAATACCAACAATTAAAATAAAAAATTCTCATACCAGAAAGATAGTTGTACTATTTTTAGCTATTCCTAAGTAGTTAAGATTTCTAATAAAACTTGGGTGCATTTTACATCTTCCTGTCAAATCTTAAGACAATCTTAATAAAACTAACATGCAATTTGTGATCACTGATCCACAGTCTAATTAATACAGTATAGTGCATTACTCACATGAGTGACAAGATCAGGACAGCCAGAGGCTCAAGGCCTGCAGAGAAACAAGGAAAAAAACCCCAGTATTGAATGTAATGAAATGCCTCTTATTGTGGTAGAGCCCTGGTGACTCCCTGAAGTTATCTTACTGAGGTGGTTTCCCACCATGGTGTCACATCAGTTGCAGGACTCCTCCTCCTGGCTTCTTTCCAGAGTTGCAAGGAGTGGGTGGATTTTTATAATAACACTCGCTAGGAAAGCATCCAGAAAGTCAATGAAGCCATACAGACAACTGCAATTTTCACAGAAAATTAAACACTGAGTTTGCCAGATGACTGCAAATGATTCATTCAAAACAATTAGTTCTCTCAAAACTAGTTGAAACCCTTAGTAGAGAGGGCCACTACCAGGCAGCCCAGAGCTCCTAGCAGCTAAGTACTAGTCAGTTGAATCCAATCATTGACTCTGGGAGGCCTGGTGAGTGCTGATCATGAAGCCTCAACTCAGAGCCAAGGCATCCATGAGCACATAGTGATAGGGAAGCAGGGTGTTGTAGAATTGAACTCCAAAAAGGCCAAAGGAGAAGCCAGCAAAGCAAGGGCAGATGAAGGAAAAGTGGGACCAAAGCCCAACAGTTCCAGTAGTGATGAAACAGGCAGAACCAGAAGAGTCAATACAGTACCTGAAGCCAAACCCTGCCCAAGGAAATGCATTCAAAGTTCAGTCTCATGCACAACTGTTAAACCATCTAACAAGTCGCCCGAAACCAATCCAACACCAGATAGCAACGCAACTGCAGGCGGAGAACAGCTGCGGGATGCAGAGGAAAAAGATATCGACTAGGAATCCCAAACTAGGCCCAACCAGGTCCGAACCTGGGACCGAAGCAACCAGGGGCCCAAACCTGGTGAGTTGGAAAAGAACCAGATCCCTGGCCAAATGACATGTGGACTGGAGGGGGGGGGGGTGCGGGGGCATATCCACCAGCCATTAAGGTAGGACAAGACACAAACCCCCCCCCAAGAGACATGGTCAGGTCACAGCCACTAACCTAGTAAAAATTCTAGGAGCCAGATTCAAGCTGAAGGGCAGAAAAACATGCCACAGTAAAACCTTATATGGATAGGGAGATGCCAATATGCATCTTTAAGGTCCAGAATAGAAGAGACAGCTGCCAAAGGAAATGAAAAGACCTGAGGATCATGCTCCATTGAGAGCCAACCTCGACCCATAGCAGGTAAGGCCGCCATCTCCTACCAGACTGCCTCCAGGAAGAGGGAACAACTCTGAAGGATCAATATTTGGCTAATGGGATGACATGCAGCTGCAGTGGACTGAAAGAACCTGACCAACAGTATCCTCAGCAAAGAGGAGAGGCAGACAAAAAGATTCAGGACCCGGGTGAATCTAAAGCCTGGACTAGTATGGCTTGTTGACATGTGAGACTGGCCAAGTACAAAGCCACCTCCACCATCCAAAAAAGAGGGGCAAGCAACTTGGAAAAAGCTAATGACACTGGAACTGCAGGCAACAAAGTAGCCACACTGGGGGACTGAAGCTAGGAAATACACACCTTCAAGGAGCTTGTCACCAAACAGCTTCATGATGGCCCAAAGATGCATGGCAGCCGCCTTGTTGGTACGAGTCCTGTGGACTTTCACAGAAGAGAAGCACAAGCAGCTGCACATGGAGCTGCCACTTAACATCCTAACATCCTTGGGGAGCACTGGAGCAAACAGGCAGACCTTGAGTAGAGAATATGTAGTGCCGCTTAAAAATATACGAAAAAAGGAACTCATTGTCTGCCAATCATGCGTATAGGTTCAACAGATTTCATACCATGCTCCCAAGGGAAAAAAAAAAGATCATCAACCAGCCAGGATGAATTTGGAGCTTCATATCCCATCCTATAGACCGCAGCAGATCCGAACATGAATAAGGCCAAGTCCATCAATAAGCAAAGACCAAATCCCGCTGGAGGAACCAAAACAGACTCTCATGACTCGCAGAAAGCGCAAGGTGAGATGTTGGAATCTCCAGAAGTATGACGAATCAGAGAAACCAAATGGCATGTGGAATTGAACAATTACTCTAGCTCATATATCAAATAGGGGATAGGAAAAGTCCCCCTTCCCATGGCAATATACAGTATGTACCTGCATTCAACAAAATTAAAATCCAGGAAGGGTTGATGGGCACCAAGGGACACTACTTGGGCTTTCCCCCTTCTCCAGCCCTGGAAGACAGTCACGATGGTCCCCAGGGAAGAGCCATATTCTATGCCTGAAACAGAAAGGCATCATCCTAAGAAGAAATATCGAAGCTAAGTATTGGTTGTTGTGAAGGCATTACATTCCCAGCAGGACAGGATAGCTCAACTACCTCGAGTCAAAGTGGATAGGGTTACCCCCTAGAGATGGCTGAGCTACCTCCTAGGCTAAACACTGCTTCAACTCTAAAACCCTTAGATGCTTCAAAGCTGAAACTAGGGAAGAAGACCAGAAGCTAGTTGAACCACATTCACAGGGAAAGGAAGAGGTGGGAAGTAACTTACACGTAGGTGGAATACACCAACACATCCAAATCTGGGTCCCTAAATGCCACCGGGCCAACTCCAGGTCATCTAAACAGTACCATCTAGTGCACATCTAATCTCCCACAGGCAGTTAGTGCATAGGTGTCTATTGCTTGAGGGTGATGGGAGGAGTGTAAGGGTCCTACTATCTTGGTTGGATGAGCATTAAGAATGAAAGGCATTTCTCTCTACAGTCATTTTACTAGTTAAATTTTTAAAGGCAATTATATTTTTTGAAGCCTGAAAGATTTATTTTGTTTTGTTTCTAGGTGTGAAGATGGTGGTTATTGAAGTGAAGCCCGAGTATGGCTACTGTGTGCTGGTAGCAGTAGGCTCATCCTTCATGCTCATCTGGAAGGCCTTGAAGGTAAGTTGTGTTCTTTGTTGCAGTGTGTTGAATGTTTACATGTTGCTCACCTAAAATACCTCTTTGACATGTATTTTTTTTTACTAGATTGATCCATACACTCAGTATAGGGATGTTGTCAACCCCATCGACCACTAATCTGTGAGGCAATCAGCCCCTCATCCCTTGGGTTATAGGAGCTGGGAACCCATCTTCCCATCATTTCTGCCTACTAAAGGCAGTGATATTTTTTATCTATGCCAATTGCTGCTTTCATTACATTTTCTAGGAGGACCACCTCAGTAATTCCCAGAGCTAAGAGGCAAGAATCGACCAAGACTCTTTGCGATGGTACAGCCATGCCTTAGTAGATGAATTAAACCTCTGAGACCCACCCCTTCCATACTGAGAAATTTAGGACCAGAACCTTACTCTATATGCAATAGCAGAGCTTCAGGATTAGAGAGCAACCAAAACCCAAGAAAAAATCCTCCAGAAGGCATGAGCACAACAAAACAAGCAACTGCTTGAAGAAAATTGGGTACCTAGAGTTATTTTTTAAACAAGCTTAGGGTAGAAGCACACAGCAATGTGCTGCTACCCTAATCTATATGAAAGATTACAGTGTATAGTTCAGAAACTAGCTATAAGATCACCTAATATCTTCATCTCACAGGATGGTTAGTCATCCATAGAATCAGGAGAGAACATGAAAGGCCAGGCTAATCTATTAGCCTGCACTAGCAAAATCTGGATAGAGCACAAGAATATCTCCCAATATTTGTGAGTGTATGAAGTAGTAAAAGCTCAAACTACCTCCTACCATTTGGTCTGAAATCATTGATTACTGGGCAATCGCAGATATAGTGTTGGAGTGTGTGTCACAGCTCTTGTTCACATGGTTTACAATTGGAATATTCACCATTGGGGGATTCACTACTTGCAGCCAACTGCCATATACAGTATATCGATATCCTGCCAAATTCTGGTAGTTACAATGTCACACTTTCTAGTGGATATTATGTGCTGCCCGTACATATAGTTCTCGGTTCTAAACATATCATAACTTTATACTCATGCTTAGTCAAATGATCGATGCTGCTGGGCAAACACCTTGATGATGATAACTGACCGCCACCAGGTAGTTGTCCTCCATCCCTTCCTCAAAATTTCTTTCTGCCCCTCTTCTCACTGCCATGTAGTTGATCCTTGCTTCTCTGCCCAAGGAGGGAAGGTAGTAAATGTCAAATATCTCTTCTTCTTTCCTGGTGAATATCAAATCCAGCATTAAAGGAGCATTCCCTCCCGTCGTTCTTGTAGTTTGTTTAATGTGTTGCTACATGAATGCTTCCAGGTGGTGGTTTATGAATCAACCCACCCATCCTCCTGTTTAGATAGTATCTATTGTGACGATCATCAGTAGTCAGAATTTGTATGTTCTTAGCTTTTAGTATATCGACTAGTAAGGAAGTCTTTAAAATAAATGAAGCTAAAACACAAACTCAAATATTCCTAGGCCTAGTATAGCACACAAACATTCTAGATAGAAAACTATTACCTGAGGATCACATTAAGAACATTGTGTGAGGGGCCTATGCTACACTCTCTAACTTCAGAATTGCTTTTAAATACATGGATGGCAAAATATTATAGAAATTGTTCACGACTTTTGTTAGACCAAAACTGGAATATGCAGCGGTTGTATGGTTCCCATATCTAAAGAAGCACATCGACAAACTGCAAAAGGTGCAAAGACATGCCACTAAGTGGCTCCCAGAACTGAAGGACAAGAGCTACGAGGAGAGGTTAGAGGCATTAAATATGCCAAAACTAGAAGACAGAAGGAAAAGAGATGATATGATCACTACATATAAAATAGTAACAGGAATTGATAAAATTGATAGGGAAGATTTTCTGAGACCCGGAACTTCAAGAACAAGAGGTCATAGATTTAAATTAACTAAACACAGATGCCGAAGAATTATAAGAAAATTCACTTTCGGAAACAGAGTGGTAGACAGTTGGAACAAGTTAGGTGAGGAGGTGGTGGAGGCCAAGACCATCAGTAGTTTCAAAGCGTTATATGACAAAGAGTGCTGGGAAGACTGGACACCACGAGCGTAATTCTCATCCTGTAACTACACTTAGGTAAGTACATGTACTATATTAGGCCTCATATATCATGTATTAGGCCTAGGGAGGTTACGATTGGTTAGTTTAGTTTGTCAAAGCAACACAAGTAAAAAAATAGTTTTCCGGGGTATTGAACTCAATAGTTCATATTTCTACATTTTAATTTCGTTGTACGTCAGTATGTATACTATGGTCCTTGTCATTACTATAAGTACAGTACTACCAAAACAGGAGGACGGGCTGGAATCTACCTATCCAAAAGTCCTCTCTTCTTGCTTTGTACGCCTCTCAGTCTATGGATTTTAAGTTGAAGTCACCAAGTACCAACAGTTGTAATTGTTATAGCCTTAATTGCCTATTCTTAAAAAGTATAGAAAATGGCTATTATTTCCCACAAACTTTGCTTTTGTGACAAGGACAGTTTTATATTTTTAAATTTACCTATTTTCAAGAACATTCCAGATAGAGCACTTCCACCAGGATATTTTGGACTTGAAATGCTGCTACCAAGTACAGTATAATGAGAACATGATGGGAGACTTCATTTGTGAAAGTGATTTACAGTATAAAAGTAAATCTAAAAAAATACTCGGTTCTAAATCTTGTGTTTTAATTTTGTTACAACTTTGGTATAAATACCGTACATGTTAATTTTGATATGTTGCTTTTTTCTGAGCAAAAAAGGTGCAAATTCATCCCTTTTCTCATTGGAAATAGGTAAGTTTTAAAATATCACTGTCCTTGTCTCAAAAGCAAAGTTTGTGGGATAATGGCCAATTTCTATACCTATACTATAAGAATGGCCTATATTCTTTTAGGCATAAGAATTAGGAAATTACACTACTATCCAGGAATAACAAAAATTCATTATGGGTAATCACAAGACAACTTGATGTATGATGATCACATAACTTTTGTTAAATATTTTATTTATACAGTAATTTTATCAATACCAATTTAGGCATATTTACCAAAAAAATGTAAAACCTTTGTTACAGGTGGGTTTCATGCGTAAAAGTTTGAAAATCTATTATCCCACAATGTACAGCCTAGATAACAACCTCTTCAACTGCTATCAAAGAGCACACCAAAACACGTAAGTTGATATTTATTGTATCCAGGTTACTTCATATCATGGGTGATTCTGTAATGCATGTTGTGCTAGTCTCAAAACCTCCTGCGAATCTTCATATTTTTCTTTTCTTTTGATCAGACATGATAAAACAAATGTTTTCATTATTGTACATTAATTAAACATGATATAGAAATAATGTTATTATAAATGCATATTGCTTTTATAACCTTTTATTTGATACTCTATTAGAAATAGGAGTTCAATAGGAACTAGAATTGTAACTGCTGGTAATAAAATTGTTGAGGGCACATCATCACTTACTTGGTCAGTTATTTGTTTAAGTTACAAAGATTAATAATTTTCTAGATTTGAATTGTGGACATTACATACTACAGTAATACACTAGTGTATTTTATATTTGTATGTTACTGTACTTGTTCTTGCAAATAAAGCAATGTACAAGTGGATCTTATATTTATTTTATATTTCTTATTTGACAGTCTTGAAAATTACCCAACTTTCTTGACATTACTGCTTTTGGGAGGTCTGCATAATCCTGTGCTGAGTGCTGTAGGGGGAGCAGTGTGGTGTGCTGGTCGGGTTGCTTATGCACTTGGCTACTACACAGGAGGTATGCTATTTTGAAATTTTCAGTTCATCCTGTTTTATATATATGCAGTATATGTGAGTGTATATTTTATATACTTATATATATTACTAGTATCTCCCTTCATAACAAAATTAACCATCTGATATAGTTCCATTATACTCTATTAATTTTTAGTTAATTGTATTTAATAATTTAAGCTAAGTTATAAAGCGAGTGCATGAGAATATACTTAACAATATACTGTAATAGCAATGAATAATATTGTACAGTACTTGTCTCGTGCACATGTCATATGAGTAACATTTGTTGAGGTAGATCACAGGCTGCCTTATTCAGTAATACAAAGGATACTGATGTATCATTTTTTAATTTTTTAGAAATTGTAGAGTTTGGATATACACTAAATATTATGAATTTAATTAGAATTAAGGAAATGTTTGCATAGTTAGGCTTTTGTGTACATGAAGTGGATGGTAATGCAGCGTAACAATGTGGAGTTTGTCACTTTCACTTAATGGCAAATGATAAATTATATACAGTAAAAGGAGTCTCTGAGAGTAGTCACTTTTTTTTTACACAGATTTGAGGAAAGGATGGTAATATAGTGATAGTATTCTCTAATACTGTGTCATTTATCTGTATCTTTCATGCTTTATTTAATCTTCAATAAAAGTAATACTAATGAGAATACAAATGTTAATTTCATTACATTATATATAATTAGAATACTAATTATAATATTATAATACTGTACTAAAGAATATTTTGATTTAAGATCCCAGGAAACGTATGCGTGGCAGCTTTGGATACTTTGGACTGATAGCTATGCTGTACTGCACAGTGCGTCTAGGCACAGGGATGCTTGGATGGTTTTAAGATGAACTTGAGAAGTTCACTGCTCTTTGCATCAAGTCAATTTGTTAGTGTTGCCAGAACAGTTTTTATATATGTACTGTAGCTTAGGGTGTTCTTAATTTTCAATCCATTTTGGTGTTGCTTTTGAAGCTCAAGACAATTCTAATAACCAGTTTGGAATAAAAAAAAATCATCTGGATTTTTAAGACTACAGTATTTTGCTTTCATAGGCACATTTGAAAAGTTATCTTAAGAATTCTATTCCTATTTTTGAAGGAGCTTCTATGGTGGCTTCTTGGTGCTTGCTACCTAACAAACTCCACCCAATTCAATCCATGCCAGGGCCTTGCAAATCATATATCAATACAGGTAATTGCTGATCAATTAATTGCAGAACGATCACATTTGAATGTGGTTGTCCTGCAATACAGTACCTTACCTTGAGGTGCTTCCGGGGCTTAGCGTCCCCGCGGCCCGGTCGTCGACCAGGCCTCAGTACAGTATAAGTTTTACTTATACTTTTTTTTTATTTTTATTTTTTTATTTTTACTTATACTTTACTTATTACTTTTACTCAGTACAGTATAAGTTTTATATATACAGTATATGTATGTATAAAAAGTATATGTATTTATCACTTCCTAGACTGAGGTGAGCTTGGTCTGTAAATATTTGTTGGTGGTGCAGCTGCCCTTGCACCACTTCAGTCTTGCCTGTTTACACCTTCCTTACCTTAGGATGTGAGTATATGTGCAACTGTATGTTAAGTTGCCTTCGCTTTTAGGGCCTGCCGTCACGGAAGATCATAGGGCACTCTGCTGCTTTTTTGCATGCATGGGCTATTTTGATGGCTTTAATGCCTTGGCTGGTATGCCTGTGGGTATATCCTTGTTGCCCGTGGTCAGGTCATTGGAGGTGCTACCCAAGCTGCTTGGTCCTTTGTTTCAGAAAGTGGTGGCGGGCTTCTATTTTGCATGTTTGTCTTGCCTGTAGGGCCATGCTGGTTGCTGATTTAGATTCAACTTGTTCTTGTCCATTTTGAACTTCTACTTTTTTCCCTCTTCTTGTTTCCTGAGGTTGCTCATCTTCAGTTCTTTCAGCTGTTGCAGTGGCATTTCAGCCTCTCAGTCATCTGTTTTTGCAGCAGAGTCTGCCCCTACTGACTGAGGCCAGAAATTTCAGTGCAAGTTTTCACCTGTTGTTGGTCGGAGTAGGCTTCTGGAGAAGTTAGATTACTGGGTCGTTGCACTTCAGATTTCACTCCTGTTTCATGTCACAGAGGGGTGTGTTGGTTTGGAGTTTCTTTGCACTAGCCTTTTCGCAGTTTACCACCTTTAATGATGCTGTGGAGGAATGTCAGGTCTGTTTTCCCAACTCCAGGTCCCACTATGCATGGCTTTCCACGTATAGTTTCCAGGGGCCTACATTGGAGGCCCCTGGAAACACCTCCTTGGGTGTTGTGGATCTAGGGCCAGCAATCTACTTCACAGTTCTCTCAGTCATTGCAGAGTGGTTAGATGCTGGAATGGTCGAGTTAACCCCAACAGTGAGGTGGTTATTCTGATTGTTCTTAAACCCCAAGCAGGACCTACAAAACCTTCAGTACATTCTTGACATTTTGGGTTTGAATCACTTCATTCCCTGTCCATCTTTCTGCATGACCACCTTAGCTCAAGTCTGCCTGGTGTTGCAGGCAGATTCCTTGGTGTTACTAGACCTATGGGATACCTGTTGGGATGTGCCCATTCATCTCATTTTCAGGGACTGGTTAGGTTTTGTGGTGGCACATCAGGCCTACCAATTCCAGGTTCTCACATTTGGCTTGAATCTGTTACTCCAAACATTCAGCCTGTTGGTGAATGTAATGGTTCTTCACCTTCAGTTGCTGGAGATTTACATCTTTGCCTACATTGACAACTGGCTGGTTTTGACTCCTAGTCTGTCCATGTGTTTACAAAGCAGAGATCAGATTCATTCCAAGCTCACCAGGTTTGGATTTTTGGTAAATTGGAGAAAGTCCTATTTGTAGCCATAAATAGGTTCAAATCTGATTGGACTTGGTCTGGGATTCTCAATCAGCTCCCCTTCCCTTCCTGTTGCATACCTGCTCTGCATGAACACTCATCTCTGCCTGGTGATGGGAAGTGCCTGGGTCACCTGTCATTTGCTCGAGTGGCTATGTGGGAGCCTGAACTTTGCTTGCATGGTTTATCCTCTGGGGAGGGTTGGCCCCCAGCATTGTACCGTTTTCTTCAGCTCCTTCCCTTTCACTGGGCCATCGGGTTGAGGGTCTGTGGGCCATTTGATGACTTTTGGTTTACCAGTTTCCTCTTAAAGTTTTCAGGGTTCTGTTCCATGGTGCTTACCTTCCCTTCCACTTTACCCCTTTTACAAACACTTGGCTTTAGGTTTGATGTGGATTAAATTAGGTGGAGCTTACCAGGTAGCTCACCAAGGACCTACCAGAAAGAGGCATTTCATTAAATTCAATGCTGGTTTTTATCACTTGTCTTTTTTTTCATAGTTAATAGTTTAAGCCACAAATTGTTAAATAAATTAATATAAATATGGAAATACATTTAATTGCTGTTTATAGCCTTATTGCTTATCTTGTAAAAGTATATGTAACTATGCTGATGAGTTATTTACAACATCTTCCCTTTCCCACACACTCGATGATGAGGGGCCATATAAACACCTATCCTTCCCCATACTTCCCAGAACGAGAAGCATATAAAAAACCTTCTCTTCCTCATATACTCCAGAATGAAGGGGCTTGTACAAAAATGTCTGTCCCCCATACGCACCAAGACAACACCTCCTCTTTCCCACATAATCGAGAATGAGTGGGTTTGTACAGCAACTTCCTTTCCCTGTTCACTCCAGATAAAGAAGCATACACAACATCTTCCTCTCAACACACTCCACAACAAGGGAAAGAGATGAAAACTAGAGACAATTTAGTTACAGATGTCAAAAATAGAATGAGGGTTGGTTAAAGACGTTGAAATCAAGCCAATGCAGTTATTAATGTAAAATGAAAAGAAAAATGAGGGAACATTCCCAGAATTTTATTACAAAATATTCGGAAGATGGGGCTTGGGAGCTGACACTTGACTATACCAGTACTGTACTGTACATGCAAGCATACTGGTAGAATATCGAGATGAATATATGTGGGCAATTAAATAAAGCAATGTACTCATTTAAAACATACATTATTTATCAGATGCTATATTCATTTTGACAAAAAGAGTATAATGACTTTGTAAGATTATAAGCTTTATTGTTAATTTATGTGAATACAGGTATAAATTAAATATATTACTAAAATTATATTATTAAATTATTACTAATATATTAATAAAATTAAAGTACCGCAATTTGCTGTGCGCGCAGCCTGTGCCACTCCAGACTCCAGTGTCGTCTGTGTTCTTCCAATACAGAAATTTTGCCCACTCGTCCCAAGCAGGAACATATTTTTATGCCTACATTATTTGAGTTTTTGTATCATGTGGCAACTGTGCTGCAGTGAGAGGGGGGTCTCACTTGGGATACTTCTGCATATTTCAAACACATAAGGGAGCTCTTAATATATTCTATATTGTCCTGTATGCCTGTTTGGCATGTGAAAGGAATTACCATCCGCCTACATTGAGAAAATTTTTATATAATGTAGACCTGTATGTAGAAAAGTAGGGTAAAAAATATAGGCATAGATAATTAAAGAAAAAGTTTGACTCATTGTAAAGGCAGTAAGGATGGAATAAAAACACTGCAGAACACTCTGGTGTTGCAGTCTGAGTGTAGTAGAAAAGCCTGCACTGAATACCTTTTTGGCCCGACACTTTTGCAACCACACATCCATTGATGAAAGAAATGGTAGCACCTTTCCATTAAAAGGACAATACTGGTAGTCCAGTACTGCACTTCTGTGGATATATGGGGCAATTATGGAGTGTCTCTTTTGCTATCAATAAATAATCCCTTATGACAATTATGTTTATGGTAATATATAATTTAGCCCTACATTATATAATGTTTTCGTTATATATTTCTTAACAGTGAATCATCCTGTAACTTCATATTGTAATAAATATTCTTCTTAAGTAGTATCTTTATTCATTCAAAAAGTTCAGTTTTATCTACTGTACTTTGAAAATGGAAGACAACGCAGGCCTACTGTATAGCATACATTAACTGTGTCAGCATTAAATGAGTTTTCTTCAATTAATACCATAATGGAAAATAAGTCAAGTCGGACTGTATAATACAAAATAATTTGATAATTTTCATGTTCTTTTTATTTTATAACACCATACTTTAAACATTGTTTCACATTTCCCGTGGTGTGGTGGTTAAGACACTCGCCTGGCGTTTCGCGAGCTCTTTGTCCTGGGTTCGTATCCTGGCCGGGGAGGATTTACTGGGTGCAAATCCTTAACTGTAGCCTCTGTTTAACCTAACAGTAAAATGAGTACTTGGTTGTAAAAACGATTCTTCGCGGGAAGTCGTATTCCAGAGAACATAAGATTAAGGACGTGCCCGAAACGTACAGCCACTAGTACGCATAGCAAGAATGTAAGAACTTGTATATATCAATAATAATAATAATAAATAATAATTAGTCATTTGGTCATGCTTGTTAATGTGTGCCCTAGGAATGAGTCATGTGTTGATTTAATTAAATATTTGAATAGTGAAATGATATTTAAATTGGGAATGGTGAACATCTGTAATTTTTCACAACAGAAATTATGTAATCAATTCTAGTTGTTTGTAGCAGCTGGAATACTGATATGCACCACATCAGCAGTATGTGTGCGTATAGGCATGTCTGAACAACCAGCTTGAGACCTCACATTATGACAACATATTATCTGTGCTTAAAATTTGACTAATCTAGTCATGTGGTTATGGCCAAAGCCAAATTATTGCATGTGTTGACAAATTGCTTTCAAGCTGGATAAATTGTTAACATTTGCACAACCAAAGAATCTACCAAAATACACAATACAATTTTAAATGTACATTATGTACTGGCCAAATGAAAGCAAAGTTAGTCGAGGGAATGTGATGACAGTGACATATTTACAATAATTTATGTGGCTGTCAAAGTTTTGTATTAATAATAAAAAAATAATTGCACATAATTTTTTTTTACCACATACATGACATGATGGACATCCAATATCTATGTGGTCAAGTCACTAATACTCATCTATAATTAACTCTTTTTACTGCTGCACTTATATTTTGGCCCAATTCTTTCCTTCTGTTTTAAGGGAGGGGGCATTTGTAGTAAAATGGCTTGCTTTTTCAATGGTATTCATGAAAGTTATCAAAAAGAAGTATTATCGAGTTGACATTTTCTAATAGAATTTTTCATTTTCTAATATGGTTCAAGTAACTGAATTTCAGATCATAAATGTTCTTAAGATATAGAATATCATTATAAATACAATCAATAAGAATAAGTGACCAACAATTTTTTTGTATACATTTTTCAATATATTTTTAATGAGAAAATTAGTTACGGTAACATGACCATTATATAACAAGAAAAATCATGACCAATTAATTTGCCTGTTTTTTACTCTAGAGTACTGAAATTGATCTAACACAACATAGAATGACATTCTAAAATAACATAAATTAAATTTGTAATTCAATAAGCTCTTTCACTTGAGATTTGAATCACATTCCTATAGGAAGTGGCTGGTGAGGGAAGGTGGTAATTAGGGCACTTGGTATCAAATTCTTGTAAATGACAGACTTAGGTCATCCATAAACACATAATGTACTAGTTTTTATTTTACACATGTTCACCATTGATCCTGAGCTATGAGAAGAAAAAATAACATCAGAAGGTGTACTGTTCTGTCAACAGCTAAACCAAAATACCTCTCTCTCTCCACTAAAGATAAACTAGTCAGTTACAGGATCAGAATAAAGAATTGCTGAATCCTCTTAATGAAGACAGAGGGGTCAACAGGAAATGTGAGAGTAAACAAAGTACAGAACAGTACAAGTTGCACAAACAAATATTGTTAACGTGATGTATCGAAAAATCATAGATTCAAATCCTCCTCGCAGCTCCTTCTAATATTCTCATTGATACATTGTTAAATGTGATTCCTTTGTGCATTGAGGTGTTCGAAGTAGAATTCCTAGACTACAAAGCCAGAGTGCATGGGGAAATTGTGTGAAACCCTGGTTTGACTTCAGTGGAAGCCTCAAGAACCCTAGAGGATTAAGTTGGTTCCCAGGTTGCAATTTTTTTGACCATGTTATGGTGTAGTTGTTGGTGTTTGCTTGGGAGTACAGAGCATAGGTTCGAGTCCTCCTCACAACTCTTGACAACACAACTCCTTACCGCCATATTTTGGTGTTCTATCTGTTGTTGACACCCTCCCCAGAATATTAGAGGCCCAGTCCTTTTTAAACCCTGAAAATTCACTGTAATCATATTCTTGTCATAGCTAAATACAAGGAGTCCACATTCTGTCAATACAATGTTTCTCAACCTACCAGTTTCGACATAAATAAATATAGGGAGATACTACATAGCGGGGCAAAAGAATAATGGCTAACCTTCGGTCTGCCAGCTCCATGGTTGATCTTTTGTACCTATCACTACACACACATGTAATAGAAATCATATAGAGTACATATTTATACATTCATAGCACAGGTTTTATTATACAATGGGCTTTATTATAGACTTAATCTGTGATTCCTGGGTAGGACAGAAATGGTTGGACATGTTTCTTTCACCTAATACTGTATCTTTGTTTATTTAGCAGTAAATAGGTAGCTGGTTGTTAGACAACTATTATGAGGTTGCAACCTGGAAGGGGAGAGGCCCTTGATACAAGCCGAAAGTATATACAGTGTAAACAGGCTTCCTGTACCCTATTTTAAACAAAACTAATTTATATGAATGCTTTCTTCTCATCTGATAACCAAACCTATAAATATACTAACAATTTAAAATATAAATTAAAGAAATTAGTGAATTTTTGGGGGGCTTTTGATTTGAGCTACGTAGCAGAGTTAGAAGTAGCAATGTAAGAGCCCTGTACTGTAATTTGGATTCTAGTGACCTGAATAGTCAAGTAATCTGAAAGAATTCACATTAGAGTTTTAGACCCATTTTGACCTTTTAACCTGAATGGAAATTATTGTTAAAAGGTTATACAAGAAAAAGAAATTGAAATAAATTAGAGTTCAACCTAAGCTTAAATAAAAATTCAAGTTACTGACATTTTTTGCTACATTAGAAACCTGAATAAATTAGAATGTGGTCATTTTTGGACATTCTCGGTCAAGTCAATTAACTCGAATATTTGGCTAACTCAAAAGGGGGATGGACCCCCCCCCCCATATGATTTAAGTTGGTGAGTGGACAGTACTGTACTAGATATTCAAACAGTGATAATCTATATCTATGAAAGAGGATGTCATTGTCCAAGGATGGAGGCTAGATGCTTGGGGCTAGACTTAAGCTCTGTAGGCTGGGCTGGTGGCTGCTGGAGAATTAGCACCACCAATCTGCTGCAAGGTAACGTTATTGATGAATATAACAAAGAGGTTTGGCCCCAAAGCAGAACTTTTCAGAATCCCATTCACTACATTTCTCCAGTTAGATTAATTTCTGTTTACAGAAATTAAAGCAAGGTGATTAAAGTTGACTGCAAGGGGGCAACCCCTTATTCTCTTAGTTTTAACCACCATTTTATCCATTCTATTATTCTGCTATTTATTCCGTGAGCTTGTACTTTCCTTGCCAGTCTTTCATGTGGTGTATATCTTATCAAAATCTTTAGTAAAGTCAATGTATACTGCATCTACTAGAAGTCCTTTGTCAGAATAACTGGTTACCATTAATAAAAATGTGAGTAGGTTTGTAAGGCAGGATTTATTTTTAACAAAACCACATCGTGTGGATTTTATTAGATCGTGGCGAGATGCTGGATAACTCGCTCCCTTAGGATTCTCTCCATGAGTTTGCAGATATGCAAGGTCAAACTGATCATGTGGTAGGTTTCTGCAAAGCTTTTTCTGCCTGTTTTGAAGATAGATGTAACATTTTCACATTTCCAATCTAGGGGATCTATCTGTTGGTCCTGAGATTTCTGACAATAAGCATCAGTGGAAGACAGTTCATCTGCCAGTTCCTTAATGCCTCTGGATTGAATTCCTTCCACACCTGTGACTTTTGAATCTTTCACTTTGCCAATGCTTTTCCTGCTGATAGCACATGTTATGGGGACATACCTTAATTCATTCTCTTCACCTGCTTTAAACATTTGTGTCGGTACCGAAATGTTTTTTAAACTCGAGTGTGTAAACACTGATGTAAAGTATTCAGTGTTGGCTGCCCTTTTATCATCAGCTGTAACTTGATTGGTCTCATCTTCCTGCCTGTGTCATTCATCTCTCTTTTCTTTCTCTTTCTTGGTATATATTTTTTAACAAGTCTAGTGATGACTTTTTTTAAGTTTTCCCATGATTCTTGCATGCTTTGATCTCTTGTTAACTCATTCCAAAAGGTGTTCTGCAATTCCTCTCTCATTCTTTTAATAGTCTCCTCGAGGGTTGTCTAGAAATTCATCATCCTGGACCTTTACAAGAGTTTTTATAATTGTAATCAATCTTAAAATATTGTGATCAAAAGAAAGGGCGAGCTTTTCCTCTGCTTGCATATTTTCTGGGCATGAGCTACATTTTTGTATATTTTGTTGGTGTCACTAATGTTGCCAGGTAGTCGTCGACTTGGGTGGGCTATATTTTTATCAAAGGTCAGTGCTGAAGTCTCCTAAAATTGTGATTTTTATTTAGTTTGTTGCTTATGATTCGATTCCTGAGTGATTCCTGAGAGTGTTTGAGAATGCAGTTATATTGGTATTAAGAAATCTATAAGCAGCTCCAATAGTTATAGTGGATTTAAGGGATTTAATTTTTTATCTAAATTTTTAAATTAATCATATCATAACATTTGATTGCACAAATAAAGTCCTAGTAATATTTTGGTTATTATCGGGTCTTTCTCGGAGACTTTAATGCTAAAGTAGTTATCATCTGTAAATCAAGTACCGGTATAGATATTACGTTCTCATGTTATGTAGACTTGAATAGATTCCTGGAATATTAGATGTGGTTTTGTGTTTCCCGTTAGTCTTGTCATTCGAGGCTGGTGTTGCTAGTATAGTCCTGAACATATATTAGCTCATAACTGGTATGTGAACGTAATATGTAAATAAAACGTATTACACTTCTCAGCGTATATATCTCATACATAATCAAGGTAACGTGCGCTCAAATTATTCTCACTCAATTACTGGACTGATCATCCACTAACGTGAGGCTATTATGCTAATAATAAAAAGATTGCCAGTTGGCAGTGTCTGGACCAACAGTTGACGTAGTGCGGTGAACGACGCATTTACTCCCGCGGCATCGACGTTCCCGAGGCATTTTAAAGCAAAATAATTGAAGGAGAGAGTGTGTAGCGATTACCCCACAGCAGATAACGTGTATTGCCCAGGGATAGAAACTGAAACATTTAATATAAGAAGAAGTGTCAGTAGTGAGGTCTTGTGTAGTGAAAGCAAGATGATCTAAATGAGGCAGTGACAAGTGGCCGAGGAGACGACGAGCTCGCCAGTCAGTGTGCGCCTGACTTCAGGAGGGAGAGGGTGTGATCTGCTCCCTGCTTCCATACGTCACTGAACTGGCTGGTTTAATTCAATCGTCGGCCATAATTTGTGTACTTAATTGAATGCACCAGTAAATACTTTTTTAAACAAGAAAACTCAGAAATTTAGTATCTTTACGAATCGGTGCCACAGACATCGATAGCTGCAGGCAGCATCGAAGGGCCGGGCTTTATTTACTGTTTCGTTCAGCAGTGTTGTGGCCTCGTTGAAGGCAGTCATGAACCTAAAACGCTTCAACATGTTCAGCATGGAGAACAAGATGATCGGGTGGCTGCGACATGTCCTCACTGCCATCTCTGTCTTACTATTCGTAAGTAGGCAGCACCCAAGCTGTCATCCTCAACCTTCCTACTCACTCACACACTCACTAATTGGGATTATTAGTTTATTACACATCTACACAGGGAAGGTTAGACAAATAATAGGTTTAGGAGCTGAATTAACCCGACTATTAGATTAGTTTAGCAACCCAGTGGGCACACTATTAGAGTCACGTTACTCTTGGATATTGGGAAGTTAAGCATCTCCAAGCACCACCTGTCGTCGATAAATACCCAAATAATTAATTGTTGCCTGTTTATAGTATGGTGCTGTATAACCATATTGGCTTATAAGGGCTCCTTTTCATTCTTAATTACTATAGATAACGTTTCACTTGCGAGAAGTTTTAGTTTAGCTAATTTATTATGCACCTTATACCGATCCTGTGGGCGGTAGTGGAAAGGATTGGAGGCACAGAATGGACTCTGTCCCAGACCCCCAAAATTCATTTAACTAAACAAGTTAGTTTTCATGAGCTAGTTAAAAAAAAGTGTAGTATATCAACAAAGGGTTCGAACTAACCAAAAGTAGTCTAATCAAGCTAAGCAATTTACATATGTGGAGAGCTAGTGTCATAATTTGTATGTGTTCCTTGGCAACCATCCAGTGGGGGGAGCGGTGGAAAGGTTACAATGTAAATTTAACCAATGCACAATGAAATCATGTTAACGTGATGGCTTATACTGATTTTCTAATCTAACCAGTAGCCTAATCTGGGCTAGTAGTTATGAAGGGGAAGCACAGTAAAATCAGGGAGGTGGGGTGAACTAAGAGAAGTGATTCTTACCGTTTATATTTTATAGATATTAATTTAACAAGAAAAGTAGCAATATTTAATTTTGTATTTGCACTCAAGATTGTTTAATGTTTCCAGATTTTAAACACCCTATTCCACTGTTGATTTAGATTTTTTAAGCCCTCGGTTTTTCTTAATCGATTGCCAGTACATTATCAATTCATTTCTAATCCTTAAATCCTTAAATTTTTGTTGCTAGCCTTGTTGCAGAAGGCTGGAAACAAAGATATACAATAACAAAAGATTTGGAGCGAGAATTGTGTTATCCCAAATGGACAGACGAAGACTGAACACTTTATCCATCACTGCAATAAAACTAACACAACATTGTATACGATCAGAAAAAAAACTGACAATAGCGACACTGTCACAATAGGTACATAGTTAGGAATAATTCCTCTTGGATGTTGGCTTTACAAGGTAATTGTTTAAAAAAAAAGTATTTTTTTTTTCTTTTTGTCGGAATTTGTTAAAGTTTATTATGTCATGCAGTTGGATAATAACGAACTGGGATTGGAAGGAAGTCTTAAATATTTTCGCATTATCTAGTTATTTATTACTCGCCTAGTTGTACTCACCTAGTTGTGTTTGCGGGGGTTGAGCTTTGGTTCTTTGGCCCCGCCTCTCAACTGTCAATCAACTGGTGTGCAGAGTCCTGAGCCTATTGGGCTCTATCATATCTATATTTGAAACTGTGTATGTAGTCGGCCTCCACCACAACACTACTTAATGCATTACATTTGTTAACTACCCGTACACTGAAAAAAAATTCTAACGTCTCTGTGGCTCATCTGGGTACTAAGTTTTCATCTGTGTCCCCTTGTTCGTGTTCCACCCGTTCTAAAGAGTTTGTCTTTATCCACCCTGTCAATTCCCCTGAGAATTTTGTAGGTGGTTATCATGTCTCCCCTTACTCTTCTGCTTTCCAGGGTTGTGAGGTTCAGCTCCCTTAGCCTTTCCTCGTAGCTCATTCCTCTCAGTTCCGGGACCAGTCTGGTGGCATACCTCTGAATCTTCTCTAACTTCGTCTTGTGTTAAACTAGGTATGGACTCCAGGCTGGAGCTGCATACTCCAAGATTGGTCTTACATAAGTGGTGTACAGGGTCCTGAACGATTATTTACACAAGTTTCTAAAGGCAGTTCTTATATTGGCCAGTCTAGCATATGCCGCTGATGATATCCTTTTTATGTGGGCCTCTGGGGACAGGTTCGGTGTGATATCGACCCCCAAATCTTTCTCTCTATGTGACTCTTGCAGGATTTCACCTCCCAGATGGTACCTTGTGTTCAGCCTTCTGCTCCCTTCGCCTAATTTCATTACTTTACACTTTCCTGAGTTGAACTTTAGCAGCCATTTTCTAGACCATTCCTCCAGTTTGTCCAGGTCGTCCTGTAGTCTCTGTCTATCTTCATCTGTTTTGATTCTTCTCATAATGTTTGCATCATCAGCAAACATTGAGAGTAATGAGTCTATACCCTCTGGAAGGTCGTTTACATGTACTAGAAACAGGATGGGTCCAAGTACCGAGCCCTATGGAACCCCGCTGATGACATCTCGCCACTCTGATGCCTTCCCCCTCACCGTTACTCGCTGTTACCTATTGCTTAGATACTCCCTTATCCACTGGAGCACCTTACCTTTTACTCCTGCCTGTTGCTCCAACTTTTGTAACAGCCTTTTGTGAGGTACTGTGTCATAGGCTTTCTGACAGTCCAAGAAAATGCAGTCTGCCCACCCTTCTCTTTCCTGCCTAATTTGTGTTGCTTGGTCATAGAATTTTATTAGGCCTGTGAGGCACGATTTACCATCTCTGAACTCATGTTGGTGGTGTGTTACAAAGCTGTTTCCCTCTAGATGCTCTACGAGCCTTTTCCTCACAATCTTCTCCATCACCTTGCATGGTATACAAGTTAGGGAAACTGGCCTGTAGTTATACATATACAGTTAGTTAAACTATGCAAGTTAGGGAAACTGGCCTGTAGTGGGTTCCTTATCCGAACTGTGACAAGCATAGCTGTAGCTGCCAGTTAGTGTTGGCATGGTACAAACCTACACGGTTGTTGATGCTTAAATACAGTTCCAAAAAAATAAATGATAATTTGGTCTGTTTAGTTTTTAGTAAGTGAAATTGTTTAATTTTGGAAGGGATGCAATATCAGAAAAAGGTGTATTTTTTATTAAAAGAAAAAGGCCCTTTGATTGGTTTTAACGAAACAACATAAAATATATAAAGTGAAGTTTGAGTTTGAAAATACGGCTGTGTGTGTGTGTGTGTGTGTGTGTGTGTGTGTGTGTGTGTGTGTGTACACACACACTCACTCACTCACTTGGTGAGTACAACCATGATGACTGCATCTCGACCGGTCAGCAAAGTTTTGCAACACAGTTTCTTTACCTTGGTAAAGCGTTAAATTATACTTGTTAGCCAATGACGATTTAACATAAACACCGTTGTAATTGTTAAGTGTTGCCTATTTGGGAAAGAATCGAAGTAATTACTCTAATTTTTGGGGAGGTATTATAGCTAATGTGCAAAAAATAACTGTCAGGATGACGTTGGCTATCTTTTGACATACGTACCTTGTATACCACATATGCCAGACCAATCCTAGTATAGGCAGCGCCAGCGTGAAGTCCATATCTAGTCGAATACAAGGTGGAAAAAGTTAAAATCTATGTCACCAGACTAGTCCTTGAGCTGTGAAGTGCGAGAAACGGCTACTGGTATTAAACCTCGCGTCACTGAGAGATAGAAGAGTTGGAAGAGACATGATTACCACATATAAAATTCTCAGGGGATCTGACTGAGTAGACAAACTATTTAGCACAGGTGATACACGTACAAGGGGACATGGTTGGAAATTTAGCACCCAGAATGAGCCACAGAAACGTTAGAAAGCAATTTTCAATCAGACAGTAAAGGCAGACTCCATATATAGTTTAAAATCTAGATATATGAGAACACAACAAGCTCGGGAACCTGTGCATCAGTTGATTGATGGGACCAAAGAACCGGAATTCAACCCCTGCAAGTACGACTAGACGAATACAACTAAGTGAGTACGATATGTAATCCTTCACATAGTCGAGGGAAGTCGCATAAATGCATGTGTACCTAAATATGTTTATACAAAATAAAACAAAATTGTTTGATAAGTTTGTGACTAAACCGACATTCTGACGTCACGTAACGCAGACTGCTCACAACTGTTTGGTTCCTGTTCGATTTCTGGACAGAGCGAGACGTTTGGGACGAGGTTTCCTTGCCTACATTTAGCGGTAAATAGGTACCCGGAAGTTAGGAGACTGTTGTGGCGTGCATTCTGGGGAAGGTCAGTACTTGGTCTAGGATTATATGTAGACACCTCGATATGCTTAGCAGGCTTCTATATCCCAGCTCGACACTGTTCAGGTAGAGTCAATAATATAATCACTCATTAGCAAAAATTATTTGATTCCATACATATTTATGCATTAAGGGATAAATACATAGACATATTTTTGTATGCAAAAACATGATCTATCACGAGAGCTTCCTTCATGGGCGTCGCTAAAAAAAAAAAAAATTTACAGCCCCGCTCCTGTGCCAGTTAAGTTCACTACGGGCTCGCCATAACCCGTGCTACTTGGAACTTTTTGTTCTGAGTAGCTGAATCTAAAACAACAACAACAACAAAGCTGAAAAAAGTTAACTGCCCTTGTGCGAGTTCTGCTTTAGAGAAAAAATATAACAATTCTGGTCTCGTTTAGTGTTCTTAATGTATTCTTTTTAACTGATGCTTGTCTCTTGTTTTGTTGAACTGGGATAGTCCAGCTGGGAATGCCCAATCAATGCCTCGTAATTTTAGTAAAGCACGCTTTACTAAAAATTACTTTATAGATAAGTCATACCACTATACTTTCAGAGTTTAGTGTTATGACTTATCTATAAACAGATACATTGACAAATACTTATATATATATATATATATATATATATATATATATATATATATATATATATATATATATATATATATATATATATATATATATATATATATATATATATATATTATATATATATATATATAATATAATGTGTGTGTGTGTGGACATGTCGAATACGGTAAAGTGACTAAATACAGCAGTGAGATCAGTCAACAGTGTCAAGGTCACCATTACTTTTATTATTGCCGGCCAGAGACGGTT